TTGTTTATAATTAGTTATTATTTATACAAACTTTAATCTAAAAATTAAAATATTACGATATATAAGTTGTATCATTAATTTCATATATACAATAAAGTAAAATATTATATACATTTAATTTATACATAATTTATATATTTATAATTATAAATGAAGTTTATAAGTTTTAATATTATAATTTGTTTTTCTATGACAAAATTTTAAACTATTAATCCAAAATCAAACTGATCAAGACACTTGTATGTTTGGTTGATTTGATTTTTTTATATTTATTTAATTTTTAAAAAATATTTGATTCATTTAGTTTTTAAATATGATGGACTAAACCACCAAATCCACTCATTTGCTAACCCTATATATGGTCCCCTTGGCCACGCGCTTTACGTAAGAATTGGAAAACACGAAATGAGATCTCAAAAATGTGATTTTCAATTTTGGCAATTTTCAATCGTACCTGTTCTAATTAAGTAACTGATTATTATCCATGATGATATTTATATAATACATATTAAGCATAATATACAAAAAAAGCCCCTAAACTATTTAAAAAAAATTCAAATAAACCCTTATACTTTTATTGAGTACAATTAAGTCATTATACTTTTATTTTAAATCAAATAAATCTTTATATTTTATATTTTGAGTCAAATAAATATTTATTATTAATAATTGATTTAATTAAAATGTTGTTTGTTATTCTATATCTCGTGGCGCTAACGCGACATGTTAAAATATTATAATTGACTATGATGTGGCATGTTGACATATCATAATTGATAACGACATTTCATGCTAATTTGGTATAATAACTTAATAATGTGACATTTTTCGCTTTTCACATTAATATCATGCTAGTGCCATATGGATATGAAATGATAAGTGATATTGTTTCTATTAGAAATTAGTAGATCGTTAGTCATAAGCGTTTATTTGATTAAAAATAAAAATACAAAAACTTAATTAAACGTAATAAAAGAATGAGGACTTATTTGAATATTCTTAAGTAGTTTAAGGACTTATTTGAGCATTATGCCAATATATTATATCATGGCATGATAGTCTTAATTTTACATTAAATGCCATTAAAAAAATACATTAAATGAATAATTAAGTTAAAAGTGCTAGTATTTGTTTTGAACTAATCAGAGCATATCTGACTCTCCAAAATATAACATTTTCCACCACTTGTTATGCATATTTAGACTTGAATGTTTATTAAATTAGATTAAAATTATAATTTAATCTATTAATTTAATTTTTTAATTTTTTTATCTTATAAATTTTATTTAGAGAATGAATTATTAATCTACATAGATTTTGGACCATCCCATAAAGTTTGGTATTTGATGGGAAGTTAGAAAGTGCAAAGTCATGTGACAAGAATACGAGATACCCAATTGCTTATGCAAAAATCAAATTGGGAACGTTAAGCAATCTACCTTAATTATCTTAAATTCCTACTGAGTGAGACTTGTATCAAAGGCTTTATATATGTTTTTTTGGCGCTGTCCTTCTATAAATATGTAATTTTAGGCTTTTAAAAATATCAAATAAAATTTAATTTTAAATTGATTGATAAAAAAAATAATTAACATTTAGTTTCCTTGCACAAAATTTGACACTACTTGTTCCACGGTGAAAATCTTTTCATAATTTTAATAAAAATATTTATTTGAATTAAAATACTAAACTTATTCAATTCTTTTTTCACATTTTGTATATTTTGATTTATGTAACAAAAAATTTCAAATCTATCGATTTAAATATTTATTTTAATCAATTTTTAGGGCAATCTCATGAACTTGACTCTAAACTACCTTACTTAAGTTTTATCCACCATTCTAGCATCTCAAATTTCAAGTGTCAATGGTGCATTTATTAAGCATATTTATGTTTAATGTATGATAGGCATAATACCTAAAAAAATACTGAGTTGTTTAATAAATTTCAAATAAGCTCTTATTCTTCGATTCAGTTTAATTAAATTTTTATATTTTTATTTTAAATCAAATAATTTTTTATGATTAATGGTTAATTAAAAGTTAGTCAAAATATCATTGATTATTCTATGTTATATGTTGTTGACGTGGCATGTTAACATGTCATTATAGTTGATGTTGTGTAAGATAATATAACTATATGATATTTTTTACTATCCATGTTAACATCACATAGATATAAAATAACAAATAACATTTTAACTAATAATAATTAATTAACCGTTACTTATAAATATTTTTTTTATTTAAAATAAAAGTATAGATGTTTGATTAAATGTAATAAAATAATAATAATTTATTTGAATATTCTTAAATAATTTATGGGCTTTTTCAAGCATTATACTTTTTATGTTTTTTTAATTATTAATATTTTATTTTCAGTCCTAAAAGTTTTAAATTTACTTTAACTACTAGTGAATTAAATATAAATAAGAAATGAAGAATTTTAAATTTACTTTTTGAAAAAAAAAAAGATCGTGTAAAGTTAATAAGTTAAATGTTAGGTTGGCATTTCTAATAGTTAAGTTACTTTTATTTAGTAAACAAGATTCAAGGAAAAATTACAAGTATATAAGACTATGAATATTAAAGATTGTTTTATAACTTTATAGGATTAAGATAATGTAAAATAAGGCTTCAATCATGAAAATATATATAAAAAAATATTAAGATTATGTAAACTATACACGCAGGGCATGTATTACGTGAAAAAAAGAAAAAAGGAAGCTGGTTGTCGAATAGACTTTGGTAGTCAAATCAATAGGATTAGGATTAATTCAGTGCAAAAACATTTCTGAATAATTTGATCTTCTAATAGTACTACCACAATTATTTGGTGATTCACTTCACTTCAAAAAATCATCTGGGTTTCAATAATTTGATTTTTAACCAGAACAAAAAAAAGAAAATTTGATAAGTTTTTCTTTGGCGAACCAAAACGGGACACATTCGTCCCTTAAAATATGGCATCCAGATTAAGGCCAACGCCACCGTCACAGTTGCAGTACGACAAAGCGTAGTGCATCGCTGCTAAGCGCTGGCAATTGCACGAATCCATTTGGCAGTTACTGCCTCTCCCTCCACGTCTATTCTGTTTCAATCATCAGCGACGATCGCATCAAAACAAAAAACAATGGACCCCACCGTCCTATCAACTCATCGCCAAAGCGACACGTCACGCATCCCATTCTCTCCCTATATAATACCCTTCCCCCCTCCACTTTTTCCAAGTCTCTGAACTTTCGATTTCATCCGCTTTCTGGACAATGGAAATCTCAGTGGAGAAGATCAGCGTCAAGGACGCCAACTACTTCTACGACGCCTACAACGTCCACGTCGAAGACCACCGCATCCTCACCATCGTCACCTACTGCGAGGTCACCGCTGGCAAATGGATCAAAGACTCCAAAAAAGCCTACAATTCCAAATCTCTCCCAAACACTGTCATCGTCGGCCTCTCTGTTGAACGCCGTTTGGACGATTACTCCCGTTACGGCCTCCGCGACACTCCCTACCAGCTCCTCCACCTGTGCATCGGCTCCCATTGCCTCATCTACCACCTCCCCGACCTCTACGATTACCGCGACGTATCTGTGAAGTTCCTCAACACCTTTCTTTCTGATCCTAAGGTGGTTGTTGTCGGGATGGAGATAAAGGAGAAGGCGAGTAAGCTGAAGAGGGACTTTGGGGTTAAGATAAAGAATGTGGTGGATTTGAATGAGTTGGCTTTAAATGGGATGAAGAGGGATGAGCTTGATTTGGGGAGGTATGATTTGGATAAGCTTGCTAAGGCTGTGTTAGGAAAACACGTGGATGTGGTGAGGCCTGAGAAGAAAATAGAGTGGTTTACGACTGGGAAGTGGTGTCACTATTATTCAGATGAGTTAAGTCAAGAGAAGGTATTGTTTACCACTGTTGATGCTTATCTTTGTTTCTGGATTGGATCTGAGCTGTTTGATATGATTCATGGGAATGATTCCGCTGCTGCTGGTTCTTCCCAGAAAAATAAGAAGAAGAAAAACAAGAAGAAATAGATGAAACTTGAGGGTTTTAGTATTGTCGTTGGTGAGAACTAGCTAGGGCACTGGCTTTGCAGGTTTTGTTTTTAGTAGTAATATGTAGGGTTGCTTCTTTTCTTTTTGCTGCACCTTTCATAGAAGAATAAGCCCTGGTTTTGTTTGTTTGTTTTCAGTAGTTTACAGCGGCTTTAGGATTTTTGTTTTGCTCAACTGTTATGCTTTTCTGCGATGCATAATGGAATGAATATATAGCGGCGTTTTGTCGATTTCTGCTTCAAACTAATGGAACATGATTTATGATGAATGTTGTTTTTTGCTGATGAGTGCTGCTTAAATGCTGCCCCCCTGATTGGTCAATTGGCTGTTACAAGCTGATGAGCCCTGTTCAATTGGCTGTCCAAATTGGTTTATATATTACAAGCTGACATCCTTTTTATCTACGGAAAAGGGAACTACGGATCCCATAATCTTCTTTCATTTTCTGACCCTTTTTCCACTAACCAAGCAGTAAACGTGCCTTTTTTTTTTTTTTTTCTGTTTTCTACGCACTTCAAGCCCTACATAGTCTGATCCAAGAAATAAGGTTAACGTCACTGCTTTTAGCAATGGGTTGTTTAATTTCCAAGCCTCTGCGACTGCGAGGCGTTTCAAGGGGTAGCAAACCTTATGCGTTGCAATTTGCATGGCGCTAATCAGCTATCAAGTGTCACGAATCATTTTCGTTCGGGGTGGCGATTGAGGGGAGACACGCGTTGTGGAGGTGGTGGGAGTGGGGAGGCGATGGTGGCATGGTGCAGTCCGTTGTGCAGCAGAATGCTAACTGCACACACTCAACGACGACGTATTCCTTTGTTCGTACGCCAGGTTTTTGAAAGTTTGTCACAATATTGCACCCACTGTGGTTTGGCCACGCGTCCTGAGGAAACAATTTTGCTGTGCATGGGATTGCCGCTTTTGGCCTTTTAACTGGGAGGTAACAGTGCTGCTTGTTATTCAATATTGTTTCATTAAAGATAATCAAGATGGTGTTCATGATGAGCTGGATTAATTAAACGACCATAAGAGGGGGATGAATATTCACATTCCATTGCACAAACAGCATAAATGGAATTATAGAGTTCCCTGTGCACTCAGACAAAAACAGCAGAGTGACAAAAAATACCTGCCGTGAAGCAACTAACCTCTAGGATAGCCACTGTCAACACATCCTAGTGGAAAGAGCCCATACGCAATAACAATCAAGATGTGAAGCCCCTGTACAAAACCCGCCCTATTCAAAAAGGGGAACCCCTGTACCTACCAACATCACAAACATGACACAACAACAAAATAAACCACAAACCCCTCGCCCCCCGAAAAGAAAGATTGATGTTGGGCCAACATTGAAATTATCTTCAGACTCTCTCTAATAGGCACATTTCAACCATTGCCCAATCTAGTTGAATGGGTGATGTCCATACTAATATGGATTTCAGTTTTCAAGGCTGTGGTTTTGTTAATAAAAAAAACGCACGAGGCTGTGGTCTTATGGATCTAATGACTATTGGAGCTGAATAATATTCATCTAGTTTTATTATGGCGGCTAACAAAACTTAATATTAGTACTTAATAGGATTAGCATTTTTACCGGTTTAAGCAGTGGACAGTAAAAATAGAGGATTGGTGGGAAAAAAAAAAATCTAATCCTATCAACTATACTTGCAAAATACAAAAATTTATCAAACAAAGTGAATCTAAATTAATTATACAAACATGAATGTATGTGAGCTTGTGGGCATGAGTACCAATATATTTCAATCAAATAAATTGATTGAATTCGATTAATTCAGTTTGGTTTTAATCAGTTATTTAGTTCAGTTGATTCCATTAATTTTGATGTTCAAAAATAATAATCAAATCTACTGTAATAGTTAATTATTTTTAAATATTTATTATATATAATATAAATATTTTATTTTTTTAGTACCTCACCTTACCCATTCCCAATTCCTCCAACTTCCCTCGCTTTTCTACAACGCACTCTGTATCATACTCAAAAAAACCTATCGAGTAGTAGACAATGTTGACTATTGATGGCTGAATTATTTTGTTTACGTTGACATGTTATGTTGGATTAATTTGTTACTCGATCTAGGGTTGAATTTATTTTAATTAAAATGTTACTTATTTTTTAAAAAAATGTTATTGAAAATAATAGTGAAAATTATTGGAAAAAAAATTAAAAAATGATAAAATCGACTTAATATAAATTGATTTTGATTTTAAAGTATAATTGGATTAATTTAGTTATTTTTTAATGAGAGTTTAATTAAATTAATCTCAAAATTTTAAAATTGAGTAGGTGGAATAGACCGAATAGTCACCTCTTTTTTGTATTCCAAACAAACTGAATTGTTCTGGTTCTGTGTTGAATTTTCAAAGGAATATATATGATGCTCCATTTTAGTTGGTTAAAATTATGGCATGGTTTCAGGGTTTCGTGAATTACCATTATGGCTGCAGGTTTTCGGATTAGCTGCATCTTATCTTAGAGTGAGAGAGAAAAAAAAAAAGAGGTTTTAGTATTAAATCCCCTGCCTTGGCCAGCTTAACAATTATTGGAAGTAATTATTTATATCCTCAAACAATCACTAATCACTATCAAAACTATCACAAAAAAAAAAAGAATATTGCCAAACAATGCAAAATAATAGTTTAAGTGAAAATTAGACACATAAGACAATTAAACACTTAAGAAGCAACCCTAACATTAGACGTACCATCTTTTAAGTTTGTGGCTGGCCGACTTAAACAGGGTTTACCCTGCTTGGTTCTATTGCTGGCCCCAACCCACCCAAAAAAAAAATAAAATCAGATGCTGGTTTCTGCAATGATTTGGATGTATACACTTTTGCAGTTTCATGTAAATTGATCTTTGGTAGATTTGTAGGACTGCACTGGACTCACACTTAAAATGTCTTGTGCAGTTTTATGCAGTCATGTGGTTGTCTTGGTGCTTGCCAATGTATCATTATGATATAGATTTCTAGTCTGTGACTGTCTTCATATGATAGGAACGTGCAGAAGCATACATTTCTCATCATGTGATTTTCTGCTCTGTTTTTTTTATCAACAATTGATGGCTATGATTTATCAGTTGCATGATTTTGGTGTATGATCATTCCTAACATTACAACCAGATCAATATACAGTATACTTCAGCTGAAACTTAGGTCAAACATTAGTAGTAACAGATATATTTCGCAACAGTAAATATATAGTATGGTAGTTTTCCTTTAACGTTGAACCAGACTTCATGTGCATTTTTACTGTCTAACTTATTAGAAGTGCATAACTTATAAGCTTAGCTGTAAACGAAAAGAATGATTGAAGGGTCCTGTGGTTGGCAAATGTGATATTCCAGTTGCCAAGTGTCCTTTTATGTTTTCTGCCTGTCTTCTCGGATTTTATCCCGGAATTGTTCTAATTGTCTGATTTGCCACCGAAAGATCAGGGCAGGGTAAAGTTTTTGTACCGATGACAAGATGTTAATGGAAGTTGAATCCCTCCCAGCTGAATTTGTCCAACTGATAACATTTTTTCAATATTAAAATTCCCGGTTCCAATGATTTTAATTTATTTGGCAAAATTGGACTGGGGTGATAGATACTATATAGCACTAGTAGCTTTCAGTGAATTTCCTTTGGATATTATCTCATGAATGCAAGTCGATAAGCTCCCCTTTCAATCATTCTCACATTTCTGTTTCTTTCAATTATTCCTCGGTTTAGTCATTTTGGATTCTCTCTCTTATGCAATACAATTTGTCATTAACGCTAACCTTGTGAAGATGAAGCTAACCCACTGCCCAGAAAATTGAATAATTGATGTGTTGCTGCCGGTCCATTTCTTGTATTCGCTTGGCCCTGGCTCCACAATAAGTTATCACTGACCTGGTGGAGGGAGCCGGAGACCGCCCATGAACACAAAAGACCAATGGCTTGAGTTCCCTATGTCTGAGTGCTTCAGAGACAGGAAGGCAAATAGCACTGCTGTGCTATAGTCAGCTTTGCTTACAGGGACAATGATGGTGAAATTGGGTTGTTTGTTGCGATGCCAGGGGGCAGAGCGTCAATGTCAAACTCGAGCAGTGAAGCCTATTCAGCCTAATAATGTACCTGAAGAATTTAGGTCTCTATGACCCTGTTCCTGTTTGGTCCTTTCAAGACAGTAATAATCACAGAATTGACAAGGATAGGGTGTTCAGTCTATAAACCATCTTTTGTGAGGAATAAACTTGAGTTAAAAAGTTAATTTGCTCCTTCAAAACTCAACGCCTGCTTGCTTCTTAAGTAATTTAAACCATGGATTTGCAGAATGACCATAAGTTCTCCTTGTATGAAAAGGGCAAACAGGATGGGTAAAGGAATGAAAATAATAGTGATGTATTGTTGCCTAATCTAACAAACAAAAGAAAGAAGTGGACACGGAAAAGAGATAGTAGGATGAAGGAAGTTTTCTGACCACGTAATTCCTACCACTGTACACCAAAAATTTTTTGCCTGGTGGCTTGCTAGCTAACAGGAATAGTTGAGAAGACGAGATAAGAATCATAAACGATGGTGTTAATGCAATCATGTGAAGATGCTACCCAGGTTGTATTCAACTCGAATAAACCATGGCCTAGTTGCAAGAAATTCTAAAATAATACATGGAATTTCCTAACATGCTGACAATGAATTTGCCTGGACACTAGAGAAGGTGTGAAATAGATTTAATAGTTAACTCAAATTATGAAGATTTACAGTTGACTTAAAAATGAATGGTTGATTAAGTTGCAAGTCCCAAAAGTTGTGCTTTTAAATAATATGATCACAGGTATATTAATCTTTCTCACGAACAAACAATCAATAGGACCTTACAGTTAGTTACAAAAGCAAACTCCTGACCTGATCGAGTTCCGCAGCCTGATAAATCCTATAAATAGGCAAGATCACGAGGTCAGATAAATATCAGATCCGAGGGTCTTATTTAAAAGTTTGAGCAGGCTCACAAAGAGACTTCTCAAATGTCTAAGCCAAGGTCAGTTTATCTTTGTTTAATACTTTGTTAGATCTGCCTGTGTGAATTGACATTCTTTCTCCTGGTATTGCATCTCAAAAAATTCCCAACTCTTAATTGTCTTCTCCAATGCTGCAAATACATTTATAGATTAACATTTCTTACGTATGAGATTTTCTAGGTTGGAAGGTAAGGTAGCACTTATCACAGGTGCAGCCAGTGGGATTGGTGAAGAGACGGTGAGATTGTTTGCAGAACATGGGGCTTTTGTTGTTATCGCTGATGTCCAGGATGATCTTGGGAATCAAGTAGCTGCATCATTAGGCCTAGACAAGGTTAGTTACCACCACTGCGATGTAAGAGATGAGAAGCAAGTTGAGGAAACGGTGAGTTACACGGTGGAGAAATATGGAAAGCTGGACATTTTGTTCAGCAATGCTGGTATCCTCGGCCCGCTAACTGGAATCTTAGAACTTGACATGGATGGCTTTGACAACACCATAGCCACAAATGTTCGAGGTGTTGCTGCCACGATCAAGCATGCTGCTCGTACTATGGTGGCTAGAAATATCCGCGGATCCATCATATGCACTGCAAGTGTAGCATCTTCCCTAGGAGGGACTGGTCCGCATGCTTATACTACATCAAAACATGCTATCGTAGGCCTTGTCCGAGCAACTTGCAGCGAGCTAGGGGCTTATGGGATCCGAGTCAATTGCGTTTCTCCATACGGAGTTGCTACACCTCTTGCTTGTAATAGTTACAATTGGAAACCAAGTGAAGTGGAGGCCAATATTTGTTCATCGAGCAACTTGAAAGGTATTGTGTTGAAGGCTAGGCACATTGCAGAGGCTGTATTGTTTCTTGCTTCTGATGAATCCACTTACATCAGCGGGCAAAACTTGGCAGTTGATGGAGGTTTTACAGTGGTTAATCACAGTTTTTCAACACTTACAAAGTAATGGTTGTCATAGTATCGAAGCCAATATTAAAAACAGATTGGCATTTAATTCTGCTTCTCTGGAAACTTTTATAAGCAAAGCTTTCTTTAGCGAGTCAAACCCTGTTACCAGCACATTCCATGTGCATTTTCCTTATAATCAGGAATGCTATATTTTTCTATTTTTTACTTGACAAATCCATCAGTCTTGTCTGCCAATGTCCCAACTCTCAAGCTTTCTCCACTCTTCCCTTGTTTCATTTTCTGATTTTCAGCCCTGTATTTCGTGGTAAAGGACAACATGCATCAAAAGAACAAATATGCACTCTTTCTATTCTCGAATACTTGCTTTTTTTCTCCCTTTCCACTCAAAAATCAAAGCTACGGTACAAAAGACATAACTTGGATTTTCCTCATTTTAAGCAGCAAGAAAATTCTGACGTTTGAATCTTTTGACTAGTAAAAGTCAAAAATCCTTATGGAAATGTGGGAGGAGTCATAGTGATTATTAAGGCCTGTTGTTAACTATCTCGCAGCTTTGGCTGCGATATTAAGACAACAACCAACAATTTAATTAGTGCTAGAAAGGATGACGGAAACTTGAAGCTGAAGCCAAGAAGACTAGCACATTAATTCGGTGACAGCTCTTCATGTGGTGAAATACCAGAAGAGAAAAACCTCTTAGTTGGTTTCCAAATGATTTTCATCTGCACATTTTGGCTGCAGCCCCTGGCCAGTGCTTTCCTTTATGCTGCTCAAACAATAGCAAGCTCCTATTCTTCTGCTACTGTGCATTGATTGAGCAATAAAAAAGGCCACACCATAATTTTACAATTTCTCTCTATACATCTACCATTAAATATTAATTTAAGGACCACGATATGGCTTTCGATGTTTTTCTGTCTTTACTGTTTTGCTTTTCCTGTATTTTCTTTTCTTCTGTTTATTTCCCAAAGTTTGTTTAACTCTCCTGGTGGTAATAATAGTTTACAAGGAGGAAGATGCTTTTGTAAAGAAAGTCTAAAAGTAACAACTTCTAAAATTGCTTCTGAATTAAGTTTATATTAAACATAATTAAATCTATAGTCTATAAGGAGGCATGCTAGTTCATGCTAAGATTAGCAGCAGAAGTTTAATCCAAATTTTCAACCAAATCATACTTAAAATACTAAATGGGCATCCAAGTACAGTGTAACAATCAGACACACATGCTTTGTTAATAAAAATATTATACTTAACTTATAAAAATACTATGCATTATTAGCACGAGAAGATAGCACATTCACCGAAGAAATAAATATACATATATATATATGTTAAGTCAGTTTTCTCCTTCAGGAAGTTTTTGAGTTTTGGTCTAGCTAATGCCAGTAGAATCAACTGATCAGGCTTCACTTCAATGGATTTTATTGATATAATTACCTTCAAAGATGGAACTTCCCTAAGATGTATATAATTATAGGCAAAAATGCCTAGCCTTTGTTCCCTCAAATCTAAGATTTTGATCATCAGAAAGTAACAGACGGACCATGTCAGGTTTCTTGATCAAACTAGAAGTTTCAACGAAAATCGTCCGACCCCTATTTGGGATTTTCCTTTAACTTTTAAATATATATATATATATATATATTTACCGACCAGATTCCCCTTGCTGTCAAATTGAGCTATTCTTTTTTTTTACTTTGAAACAATAATAAAAAAACCTTTATCATAAACGTGATTCCAAAGACTCAAACCAAACAGTCAAAACTACCATTCGTGTATCCAATTCAAGAGCTAAATCTCTACTAAACAAAACAAAGTTCTAGTCTTCGACAGCTTACACCAATGATGATCATTAGACGCCCTTCTTCCCTGAAACTTTGACATCAATCGCCTTGCATTGCAAAAGGGCAAGATTCCAGCAGCCGTAGTCTAAACCATGGCCCTTGTAGTATATTGGTATGATTTCATTTGTTTTGGCATTGTGGCGGCTGCCTTCATTGGGTCCTTATGGGTGCTATGGAGAAAGGAAGCTGCGTCTAGATGCGAGGACAACAGCGTATACGAGAGTCTGTTAGCTGCTCGACCGGATGTTGATGGGTTTGTTCGTGCCACACCAAGGGCTCATGTTGGCTCCAACCAGCTATGGACCAGTTGTTGGAAAGGGGTGCACCCAGGATGGCTTGTGTTGACTCGTTTTGCTTCACTTGCAGTCATGGCCGGATTCTTGTCGTGGGACATAGTCGAATGGGATGCAACCATCTTCGTTTACTACACTGAGTAAGTTTCTTCATGTTTGATTCTACACATTTGTGTATTTCTATGCATATTTAGGCATTTCAGTCATCAATATTAGTGAAGTTCATTAGAGGTAGTTGATTAGATCACAAGGAAACATTTTAAAATTATAGCTTATTATGGGAAGGGAGTGTCTCGCCATAGATTGAATAACAGGCATTCACATAAAAAATTACTGGTTACCATATAGGGTTGGACCATTTGGTGAGCAACTAATAGCCTTGTGATCACTTGAGAAAATAATAATGAGCATTCTTTTTCTTTTTATTATTATTTTTTGTTCACCGTATAAAACCCAAATTGTTTAAATTTAGTAATATTTGGAGAAGGAATTAGACTAGTGAGTGGGTAATTAGGTTATACCTCTAATCACTAGTAAGAAATTCTATTTTCAACGATAAAGAACAATGAGAAGAGTTGAAAACCATGCCAAAAGGCCCAAAACTCAATGCTACATTTCCATTTCTTAGGGTCCAATCCCATGGGCCAGAAAGCCTGAAACATATGAACATGAGGGTTGGTTGATTACTTAAAACATACAACAACACCCACCCCAGCTAAATTCGGAGCCTACCCAAGTCAACTTCCAGAACTACCGTTTTTACCTTTAATCGCCAACAAGCTACCATTCTTCCCTGAGAGAGGAAAAACTGGGAAAACTCTGATCACCAAACTCCATTTCTTTTTCTTATATTCCTAACTTTCACCCAAGTCCCAATTCTTTACATCCCTTAATCCAATGAGAAATGTCTAATTCGGACGATGAAGGTTTCGGGTACTGGCTTAGATGGCAAGTTCCAGTGTGTGCATTTATCATCGTAGCCCCATCTCTTTTAGCTTCATATGTCATCAAGAAAGTTAAAACAGACCCATTATTTTTTGATGATTTTTGGAAGCCACAGTGGAGAAAGCTCAACCCCTGCTGGCTTCTATGCTATAGAGCTTTTGCTTTTGTGTGCTTGGCTTGGATACTGTATGAGATTGTTGCCTTGGATGGAGCTTTTGCTTTCTATTTCTACACTCAGTAAGATTATATCCCAATACCTCTCTCATGTTTTTGTTTTTCATACTTCTTAATTTTTACTGACTATACTTGGCATTTGCTAAGAAGATTGAAGGAAAAGAAAACTAAATAATCTCGTGCTGTCTTATTTGTTTGTTGTTAGATTAATGCTTCAGAGATTTTCCTTCATCCTATGTTGAACCTTTTTGTTATAATTTTTCCGCTTTTCATGATGTTAAATCCCTTTGTCTTTGGTAGAGAAATGAGTGTTTCTGATACCTAATATATGATGCAACAACTCTGCAGGTGGACATTTGCATTGGTTATGGTCTATTTTGCGGTAAGTAAAGAATTTAAATCCCATTTCTCTCCGTTATCTTTTCCTAGTAGTAATATTCTTTTATTGTAGCTTCTCTCTCTCTCCTTTTTTTAGAAAGGCAAGCTCTGTTTCAAGTATGAACAGATAGAGATAACGTGATTTCAATAATACAAAATTACATACCTTTTTCTTTGTTGATTAAACTACATTCTTTTTGTTGAAGTAGCCCCTTTTTAAGATATGCCCTTTCTCTGTGTAGCTGGGGACTGTCATATCTGCTTATGGATGTTGGGTGTGCTTAAGTACACCTCTTCCTGAAAATGGTGCAAGGGATGAATTTCTGAAAAGAGATGTCGAAGAGGGTAGGACTGCAAACCCTGTAACTTATCAGGAAAAAGATGTCAGGGGTAAAATCAAACTGCAGAGTCACTATGCTCAGGAGGAGTTTCAACAAAGAGCAGGGTTTTGGGGATATCTTATGCAAACTATATATCAGGTCAGTCATGAAGAAATCCATCTTTTCTGTCCATCCTAAAAACTTATTATAGCTCAAGTTCTCCTATCTCACATGTGCAATGCGTCATCCAGGTCCAGCTAACTCTTCAAAGAGTTGTGTTTTAATATGATCTTCATCCCTTTCATTATTACAAAATGATTACCAAAAACTTCGAAGCAAACACTGATCAAAGACAGATACCACAGCTATATTAAGTGTTCTGAGCATCATTCCTTAAGGCAAATGGGTTGAGCCTTGAGACCATTAATACTGGACTGGTGTCTTTCTTTCCTTGCAGACAACTGATTCCCTAATTTCGCTTCATTGCAGACCTGTGGAGGTGCTGTCATCCTGACAGACATTGTATTTTGGTGTATTATTGTTCCATTTTTGTCAAACTCACACCTTGGACTGAACATGGTGAGATTTACTTCATATAAACTGTCTATGCTACATTATGGAAAAGCCTTAATTTGATGGAAAGTTTATTGGCATCTGCTTTGTTTATTCAGTTCCTGCTAAGCTTGTTGAAAGATGAATTTTGACTGGCCTTAAGTCACAAATGCTCCATGCATTCTTCTATAATAGTATCATTAGAGTTGACTGCACTTACACAAGAGAGCTTGACAAAGGTTATGTCTCAGTTGTTGTCAGTTATCTATGCTATGAATCTTGTATGATTTTCTATTGACTACTATTCTCCTGTCCCTTTCTTAAAGTTCTTCAAATAAATTTTCCTGATGAATCATTGAATTAATTGTCACAAAGGACAGTTACATGGTAGAAACTAAACTGTTTCATACTAATTTTTTGCTACCTGAAAATGCTTGTTGAGTGTAGTGTTTCCTTACAGACTGCTGCTCAATGCTATGTGATTGGTACCATCATGCATCTTCTGCATGTTTTTCTTTCTCTCCTGCCATTTTTTTTTCCTAATAACCTTCCCTTGTTTCCTTTTTGGTTTATATATGAAAAATCATCACCACAAATTTTTAATGACTGCAATTGGATTCAACCAGTGGTTCATATGGCAACATGACTAAAATCATTTTAGAATGCTTTCTTTCCAGTTACCACCTCTCCTAACTCATTCACAGACTTGTGGAAAAAACTATCAATAGATAAGTAAGAATTATGCTTGCCACTAAGTTTTATTTGCAAGCCTCTAAGCACTACTGGCTTATGTAATGTTATAAATCATACTGGAATCCTAGAATGGATGGTGAATTACTAGAATGCTCACTGATTCTTGTTTATTTCTTTCTGACAGTTAATGGGCTGCATGCACACTTTGAACGCTGTTTTTCTTGTAGTAGATACCGTTCTCAATAGCCTTGTAAGTATTGCAGCACTAAGGGAGATCCTTTTCTTAAATGTTGTTCATTTCTACAATAAATTCATATAAATTCATCTTGTTTCCCATAACACATTTAGTGCTCAGCCACAATGTTGCATATCTTTAAATGAGTCAAGAGAGGGGAGTTAGAAGAGGAAACAAGGGAGAAAAAAAAAAAGAAAGATGAAGGAAGAGGGAACATAGATAATTTCTGGATTTCCTTTATGAGTTGCTGCTTCCACTGGTTAATATTAATTAGATCTCATCTTTTGTGTCAGCCCTTTCCTTGGTTCCGGCTAGCATATTTTGTTCAGTGGAGCTGTTTGTATGTTGTTTTTCAGTGGGTCCTTCATGCCTGCGGTTTTACATGGTAAGCATAGATCTTTTCTGGATTCTGCATTGCCTTCTTGTCTTTCCAAGTTCTGGTTAAACAACTAGTAACATTTGCTCATACTAAACTAGGTGGCCATATCCTTTCCTTGAGCTTGATACGCCATGGGCTCCTTTATGGTAAGCGGCTAACACAGTTTTATATCCGATCCCGTTTTCAACTGTAAATCACTTAATATAAGAATATGATGGATGCTATGCATTGTACAGGTACTTTGCCCTGGCTGTGGTTCACATCCCCTGCTATGGGATATATGCACTGATTGTAAAAGCCAAAAATTCGATCCTCCCAAGATTGTTCCCTCATGCTTTTGTGAGGTCATACTCATACTAGTTTCTTTCTTTATTTATTTCAAATCCACTGCTTTGGATGTGGTAATCTGCTTTGAGTGTATGCTTATGTATATGAAGACGGGGGTTTTGCTTCCATTCCCTCTGCAGATTGTGGTTTATACACCTTTTGTTGCATAATTTTAACACTTGGACAAGTACTCCAGCATTCCTACCAAAATCAAATTATATCCTCCTGATTTTTTGGGCTTATCTGACATGTTTATATATTGCTTTTACTTCTACGAGGGTTCTATTATCTATTTGCATCTAGTGAATGGTAGGATAGTTAAAATCTATGGATAATGATAATTTAATACAGTAAGTATCCAGAGTAAGGAAACCATTTTTCTTCATTGGATGTCGAAGAATGCAAAGAAAGCTTTCTGCAATTAGCAACATACAATCGTGAAGGGCATAGACCGCCAGATTCAGTGTATAACTCGATAGTTAATTCCTTGCTTTACTTTAAATTGTGATGATAAGAGACGATGAGACATTATCTTACCAACTGTGATTGCCCTCGCTCATAAGATGTAAAAAGGCTGTTTTGGGCCGCTTAATACTGATCACTCTTGTCAAGGGAAGCCCATTAAAGTTTATTGAACTATGGAGGAGGCCTCCTACAACTAGGGCAGGATAAAACACATTAGTATATAATCTGATTCTCATGTGCTTAAAGCCTTAAATTCAATTTCCTCGACAGTGGATTCCATTCCATTTCCACCTCTCTGAAACTCTTTAAGGTAGATAGAAAACCAATTACGGAAAGAGGAAAACTTCAACACCAACCCTTTTCCCAACCGGTTTCACTCTCTCATGCTTCCCATAATTAACTGACAAGGAACGATAGAACACTCTGCAACAATTTCATAAAACACCACCAAAAAGTTGCAGATTCATGCACATGAAGGATACCTTATAACATGAATAAGACAGGTGATACCTTCTATTACTCCATAACCTCAACAAGCATCTCTGAAAGGTTTCAAAAAAGTTCCGAGTGGAAATATTATATTTTTCTTGAAACAGCAATGCAGAAGTTTACCACCGCATCAACCAGTATGCAATGAGAAGTATCTTCAATATGTAGACAACTAAAACACTGAAAACAGATTCTACAATGGAATGCAGGGTTTTGTAGGTGATTTAGATCAAAATTGTGAAATGAAGAACACAACCATAACTCCAGTAATGATTTATATAGCTTTAAGCGATTGGTTAAAAATAACCCTTTTACTGTCACTTCATTTTTATCAGACAAGACTCGAGTTACTCAAACCCCTTTCCAATGCTCGGGGTCTATTGCACAAAGGAACCACAATCCATACAACCATGTCAGGCATACAAAGCAAACAACAGTCTGGGTCCCAAAAAAGAACTTCAATCAACAATTTTCTTAACAGAAGAATTCTAATCCAATAACAACACTTACAATGGTTAAACATTCAAAGGTAGGAAATATTAGTATAACCTTGAAAAAAGATTCAAATGGTCCATGGGTTTTTGAAATTCTATATTTCAAGCATACATCTATTCACCAGAGAACAACAAACCATTCGTAAAGGTAAAACATGAATAAAAGAGCCACATCAGTCATCCACCAGACATAAATAAGTAGAAAACCGCATACTTGGATTCAAACAGCTAAATTAATGATCAAAAACTCCAAAAACATATCGAAAGTATTGTAACATAATAAAACATAACACAAAAATAAAAAGTCTAACGATTATTGAAAATAAAAATCCTAAAACTCATACTGAAAAACTATAGATCCATTTTTATCACGAGCCGAACAGAAGTCGAACCCTACTCAATCCCCACCGGCCTTCTGGTAAACGTAAGTGAGCCCACACTTACCGCAATAGTGCCTATCAAAATGGTTAGCCATGAAAGTTCCGGCCCCACACTCCGCATTAGGGCACTCTTTCCTCAACCTCTGAACCTTACCGGATTCATCCACCTTGTAAAACTGGAGGACCGCGAGCTTGACCTTCTTCTTCTTGTGCTTGATTTTCTTGGGCTTGGTGTAGGTCTTCTTCTTCCTCTTCTTGGCGCCACCCCTGAGACGGAGAACGAGGTGAAGTGTGGATTCCTTCTGGATGTTGTAGTCGGCTAAGGTGCGGCCGTCTTCGAGCTGCTTGCCGGCGAAGATGAGACGTTGCTGGTCCGGCGGGATTCCTTCCTTGTCTTGGATCTTGGCTTTGACATTGTCGATGGTGTCAGAGGATTCGACCTCGAGGGTTATGGTCTTCCCCGTTAGGGTTTTGACGAAGATCTGCATCTTTGCGTTGGCTGAAGATGCAGAGAAAGTGGAGGAGAGGGCTTCGGCTAGGGCTTCAAAATGGGAGATGAATGAGGGTTTTCATATGGACAAAAACGGGTGGGGTTAGGGTTTTGTGGGAGTGGGGGCTGGGGTTGAAAGTACCTAATCGCCCATGGTCTCTGGGCTTTGGGCGTTAGATTTCTATTTGGGCCTGATATATTGGAGCCCAAGCCTAATGTAAATATTTTCTTTTTTCAATTTTATTTTTTTAATGACTAAAAGCAGTTCAAAAATTCAAACAGAAATTATAATTTTTCTAAAAGAAAAATGTTTTCTATATTTATATAATATTATTATTAATTTTATTCTTTTAGTTTTAGTTTTAGTTTTTAACTTGTCATAAACGAAACAAAACTAAATTTGCACCTTTTTCTTAATTTTGGTGTTGATTAATGAAATTAGATACAGAGCAAATTTAACTCTCTATGATGAAACCAAAAGGCCCAAAAATAGAAAAGAACTGGCGATGTTAAAACGGGCAGCCTTTATAATTCGATTGTGTACATGTGTTGCAACCTTGTAACCCCAAAAATAAAACTACTACTGCTTTACGATAGATGCTAACATCATATATATAAATAGTAAAGAGAGAAATATGATATAGTAACATGCAGAATAAATATATAAACAACAATCATTGATTCCATTGAAAGAATTTTATGATAGAAATGATTTACCCTTCCCTTTGAATATTTCATAAGTAATTGAAACAATTCAAAACATTTTCGTGTATCAAAAGACTTAAGAAAGGAGCATGGGAAACAAAAATGAAACCAAACAAGACGGAGAAAATAATTTCGGCTAAGATCAGTTCGCCACGCTGCAAATTCTCCTGATTTCACCTTGTGCACCGGTGAGAACATCAAGGGATCCCATGTGCACCATAGCCTTGGCAAACTTTTTAGCCCACAGTGCACCGTCCCTCTCATTGTTCGACACCATTCTTGAGGTCAAAGAACTGTCCATCAACGTCTGGTCGGAGGTCAGTAAACCACGACGACGCCTCAGTTCACTGAAGTACTTGTTGTCCAGGCGATTGGGAGTCACCATGTCAAGTGCCACTGTCGTTGGATCTCCACCAGCCCCAGCAGTAGGTGGGGGCGGGCATTTTGTTTTCAGAAAAGCTGCGTAGTTAGGATCCATAGAAGGATCTTGAGGATGAGTGGCATTGAAAGAGTAGAGGCGGTTAGAGAATGAAGAGCAATGTGAGACACCAATGGAATGTGCCCCTGATAAAGTCACCATCTCATCGACCGACATTCCTTTTCTTGCGAACCTTTGAGCAATTTGTTCTGCGTTGAAAGATGGAGGGGGAAGATTTTGTGTCACTTCATCACTGATAGAGACACGGCCATCTCGGCGTCCAGCTGGAATGGCGTAGTAAATTCCTCCAGTTTTGTAGGTGCTGTCACGGGCAGCGAATGCAAGAATGTCTGCACATGACACGGTTCCTGGACATAGTGCCTCGATTTGGGCTTTGGCTTCATCAATAACCTCGAAACCACGTAAACTTGGATTGTTAGCGGGATGTTCCATCTCTGCTAGGTTTCCAGGTGTGGATTTTAGAAGAACGGAAGCATCACAACCCTGAATTACATACGAAAGCAGTTGCATTCAGTTAGAGGAGGAAGAAATATAATCCAAAAAGACAGTACAACTTATTAGAGATTGTTGAAAAATGAGCATACCCTCACAAAGCAGTCATGGAAATACATTCTGATGAGTCCAGCAGCTATGCCAGGATTACGCGACACAGCTTTATTTACAGCTTTTCTCACAATTGTCTCAGCAGATTGACAGCTTCCTTTATAGAAGCCCACCTTCAAAGATGCTGCTGATGCAGAAGCCATTGTGGAGAACAGTGAACAGAAAAACATGACAGAGACCAGGGCAATAATGCCAAACTTTGTGCACAAAAAACTCATCGTACCAGATATATAGTAGAAGAAATAGTAGTACTTATCAATGAAAAAGTTGCTTGGAAGTAAATTAGAAGAAGCTTAAGGCAGAGAATCAGGTGAACGATCCTGGTAGCTTTATGCAAGTTAACAGTTATATGAAAGTGGAGATGGAAGAACAAGCTAATCCAGTGAGAGTATTTATAGGTGGAGATGTAAGTAAAGAAGGTAGAGTTGGTATTACTTTTGGAACCCCAAAACGTGTGTAGCTGTAAGCTTGAGAGCGTGGCTTCAAGCTGAAGTTTTCTTATTTTGAACAATTCTAACCCGGCACCAGCATCTTTCGTAGAACGTTTAGCAGTAACAGTCTCTCATCTCCTTTTCCCTACCCCTTCCAGGCATCAATACTATATATTATTTTAGGTTCAGTTCCCTTGGTTGTACAAAAACAACAACTCTGAGTGGAGAGGAAGAATGTACCCCTGAGAAAGTTTCAAATTTCAACCTTACATAAACGGCTGCAGGTGAGGATAACCCCACAATTCCGATTTAGGTCCTTGTCCTTAATAAATTAATATCATATTCAAGTCTGAACAAGTCCTTCTAGTTTCTACTTCAATTCCAACCTGCAAGTGAAGGTAGTTTTGGTTTTCCACTTGCTGTTTTTGAGCTGTAAATCCTTGATAATGAAATGGATTCCCTGGATTCGTCTGCCGCACTGGCATATACTAGTAATGTTTATTTTACTTGTGCGGCAATTAAAATAGCTGCATGTATATCGGTTTTGTTTGTTCCATGAATGCCAATTGGCAACCCAAGGTAGTGGCTGATTTTTTTTTTTCTTGACAATTTTGAAGCTTGTTTTTCTGGAGAATGTTGAATTTGCAGCCAACACCATTTGTTTGATCAGAAATGTGAATTTCCTACTTTACCTTAGCGCTAGAAGGAACCGCGGATCATGGCTGTAGGCAGGCTGTAACTGCAGGCCAAGAATTACTTCAGATTTTTAAGGTTAAGTTCATGAAAATTTATTACAAATAATCAGATTAAAATTAAATTTAAAAATAAAAACCGATAAATTGAACAGCCTTGTTATGTAAATCAAGTATACAAATTTGAGTATATTTTGATACTTTATTTGAATAAATTTTTTTATTATTTCACCATTAAATAAATATTGATAAATTTTGTAGGTAGATACTATTTTTAATTAACTTGTTACATATAATTTAATGTCTACTATTTTAAAAAGAAAAAGGCAATGTCTAAGTTTTATGGGAAAAAAAAAGGAAAGAGAAAAATCCTGATGGCCTCAGACATTTTTGTGTTACTAGTGTGTTATGCTGATTGAACCGGTAAAATAAACTTATAGAGTAACAAGCATAAGCATTGGAATATTGGATTGCGAGCGGTTTTGACTCTGAAACACACTGCTGAACGGAGCAGGCGTGCATAGTTTATAGTTTATAGTTGCATTCTGCTTAATCCGAATGAATAAAAGCAGTGGAAAATAAACAAAAGAAAGGGCTCTAGGGCTTAAAGTGGTCGCCGGTGATACAGTAAAAATAAATGGAGAATCGCTGCAAATTCTGGCTTCCAAAAAAGAACAGATTCTGTGCTAACGCCCCTCTTCACAATTCCTCGTAAGTTCTATCTCTCTCTTTCCCTCTTTCTTTTCCTCTGTTAAAATCTTTAAATTTCTCTGATATTTTATGATCAAACTGTTTCAAGGTTTTGTGGTAATCACACTCCGAGGACCGCTGGCCAGTGGATCCCATGTCCGATTGACCCTTCCCAGTAATTCCCTCTCTCGTTCTCTCTCTCTCTCTCTCTCTCCCCTTTACTTCCTGATTCCACTGAAAAAATTTAACTCTTTTTTTTGGCTTTACTTCGTAGCTCTTTGCTTCAGGAAAATCTGGAAGGACATGTAAAGAGATGCCCATTACTTAAACAAGTTCAATCTTTGAGCACCCGACCTTTCTACCAAAAGGGTGTTAATGCTGGCAAAGATGATGAACAAAAGGAACCGGAAACGTTAATACCCACTTCAGGGTCTTTTGATAATGTTTCCTCTGAAATGAAAAGAAATGCTCTTTATAGTTTGCACTTATCCGAATTCTTCGAGCTAATTAGAAAGATCGAGTCAGTTCATGCTCAAATTTGTAAGGATATTAAAGACTCCTATAAGATACCTGAAGCTTGTGGTATATGGATTAAGAGAGAAGTAGACAGGTATTGTAAGATGAATTGCTCAGGTTGTTTTGTCTGTGAGTTGATTGGTTTTTAACATGGGTTGATTCTTGACAGGAAATTACCATTTCAAGAGAAGCATGTTATGCAACAGGCCTCAATTCTTGGGAACCTGGAAGAATTTGGGGTTTTGGAAAGTTCCGTTGGCAAGAAACAGTGTGGAGGTGTGGAGGTGGAGCAAGTTGAAAATAGCAATGGTGTTCCTGCAGTGGTTGAGTTTGGAGCAGGGAGGGGATACTTGACACAAATGCTTGCAGATTGCTATGGTATTGGAAGGGTATTTCTAGTTGAGAGAAAGTCATACAAGCTGAAGGTTGGTTGAATTCAGATTAAATATGTAGTATTTCAATGATTTTATATAGTTTAGTTTCATGTGATCTAATCTGGATGTGTTTCTGTGCTCTTTGAACCTTCATTAATTATAATTTGCTTTTATTGGTTACATTATGCCAATGGTATTTCTAGGCTGATCGGTCTTTGCGACAGAAAGAGAGCTTGATATTAGAGCGTTTGAGAATAGACAGTAAGGTTTTTCAGAACTTTGTATTTGGAGATGATTTTTGCAACTTCTCCATTAGATCTCCAATGCTTGTTTTCTTGTTTTTGTTTTGCTATAATTTTTTATCTAGATTGCTAGTTATTATTATTTTTATGATTCTTTAATTGCATTCAATACTGTGAAGCATTTTTGCTAAGTTTTGCAATGTGTATGCTTGCACAAATTTAAAATGTTAATTATTTTACTTTGGCCTCCCCTCTATAGAATTTCTGATATTCATAAGTGAAAAAAAAAAGGAAAGGGGGGAGAAAGCATGTTTTATTTATAGCAATTCGTAAGTTTGCTCAATGTCATTTCCCTTTACTCTGTCGTCAGATCGCAAAGTTTTCCTTTTGCAGTCGAGGATTTGAACTTGAATGCTGTTGAGTCATTGCAAGGACTTCCTTATGTAGCTATTGGCAAACATCTCTGTGGCCCTGCAACTGGTAATTTATATCTTCTGTTTCTCATAAACTTGACTGTGAGCCTCACTAATGATTGTTGTATATGATCCGAGTCACAATTTACCAGCACAAAGCATCCTTTACTATCTCTCTTTCTGTTGAAACTTTTTCCTTCAGATTTGACACTCAGATGTTGCCTGGCAAATCAAAGGAATGATGACCGATGCAGAGGTAATTGTCACCTGAGAGGTCTGGCGGTAGCAACATGCTGCCATCATCTTTGCCAATGGAAGCACTATATAAGTAATCAAAATTTTTGCCTTACACCAATATAACATCTATAATCAGATTCATTTGTATCTTTCCCGTCTAAGCTGACTTTTTAACTTGGGCATCCCTGCAGATAAAAAATACTTAACCCATTTGGGAATCAGTAAGGAAGAATTCCATGCAATTACATGGTTTACCAGCTGGGCAGTAGATGCTGATCATGGTTCAGATCTTTCTGATGTTACTGATTTCAAATTGCATCCAGATTCAATGTAACTGGGACAAACCTTTATTTATATAGATGTTTTCTTTCTGCCATTTCTTTGGAATCTGAATGTGAATATGTTTCTACCTTTTTCAACATTCGGGATTATCAAGAAAAAGGGCATTTTATGATTTTTTTATACCCTTTTTTTTTTCCCTAAAGCATATTCATTTTCCCTTGTGGCAGTGGCAGTGGCAGTGAAAAGGAAGAACATAGTGGAGATGCAAATGGAGTCGAAGGCATGGCAAGGAATATGAAAGCTATTGAGAGGGCAAAGTTAGGTTTTATGTGCAAGCAGATAATTGATATGGGAAGGTTGATGTGGGTCAAGGAACATGGATTAGTAACTCAGCTTGTTAAGTATGTTCCAGCAACCATCTCTCCAGAAAACCATCTATTGATTGCCAGACATGTTTGTCATTTCTAAGATGCCATGGTTTTGGTTTTCTTCCCTTTTTTCTTCTCCCCATATTTGTTTGTACAACTAAAAACAGCAATTTTGTTAAAGTTTATTGTTGTACTGAATTTATGTGCATCCTATTCTTTTAGAATATTATGCAGTAGAACTTGTGATCTATTTGAACAGTCTTCCATTTTCTTCTTGTTGAACTGCCAAAGATCGTTGCCATTGCCATCGAAGCAGGAGAAGGTTTAGGTGGTTGATGTTTCAGTGTTCCTCGTACAAAGGTTTAATTGATTAGGATGACTTGTTTTCGGGCTATTGGGCAGATTCGATTCTTCCAAAGGGTTAGCTAATTAGTAGATTTATATTGAGCTAGGCAAATGAAAACACTCAGTCATATTACCTCTCTACTTAGTTCAGCGATTAGATTACAATGTGGCATAAAACCGTACAAGTGGAGATGCGGGGGATCGAACCCCGTGCCTCTCGCATGCAAAGCGAGCGCTCTACCATTTGAGCTACATCCCCTGCTTACTCTAAGCTTAATTTAGTTTTAATCAATTATATTAATAAAACACAATATCTGAAAACTGTAACCGTTTCTTTTTAATGTTAAATTATTTAGTTTGTTTCAATTTTTAGATTAAAACGCAATATACAGTTTCTTCACGCTTTTTAATTAGACTTACATTAAAAAGAATATATAACACCAATGAGGTCATGATGCTTGAACTCAATAGAGACTAACAAACTAACCACTCTTACTATCAAGACTAACAATTTAAACGATTGAACCTCATTGACTTTAAATTTTTTGTGGTGTTAAAAACACAAAATATAATGAAAAATCCGCGTCTCGGTAAAAACTTGTGGACTAGCTAGCATCTCCAACATTGATGTTCTCGTCTCTGATTAGTCCTCTTAAGGTCGAACAAACAGATGTTCTCATCGTCTTGATGCTATCGTGTCATCTTAAAATTACTTAAAGGGCCCGAAGGAGTCGAGTCACGTGGATTGGGCAAGGATAACCACGTGTGTGTTTAGCCATGATGGAGCGTAGCTGCCATTCGCGACAAACATAGGAGGCGTGACTGTTGAGCCGGTGTCGTGGCCCAATCAGTTCCAGCCATATGGGATTTGCATGTGATGAGGTTGGATGGGACTGAATTGAGGAGGCTGACGTGGAATGGGTATGCGAATGGGACGCCAGCGTGGCACCCTGGGAGCGAGCTGGATATGGGGTGTTTGTGTTTGGGAAATGAAGCCGGGGCTAAACTTAAAGGTGACTTTGAGGAGCCATTGTGGATTACTTGTGATTTTGATTAGAGTTTCTTGATTTCTTTTGACCTCGTTGTCTGCTGTTATTAACCCCTGCGGCCGTGGGTTTATTGTGACCAATTGGAGGAAATAAACTTGCTGTGGAAATATTAGTATGATAATTTATATTTACACATAAAAAAGTAATGTTTTTAGATGTTTTGGTATTAAAGTTAATGACTGAAACCTAATATTAAGACATATTAGAAAACAACAAAAATTAGTATACGGTGAAAAATATGTATATTTAATTATTTGATTAGTAATATATAAATTTGAAACAGTAACGGCAAAATAATATACAAATGATCAAAAAAACTATAAGTATTATTACTATTAATAATTAGAAGCAAAATTTATTTCATGAAATAAATACTTTGAATAAGGAAAATAAACTTAAATATATTAGTTTCACGAATGTAAAACCAAGGCAACACTTAAAAAGATAACAAAAATAAAATAAAAATATAAGAGCATAATGTAGACATATTATTTTGTCCAAGATGTCTATTAAATTTTGGAAAAAAATAAAAATTAATAAAATATGAAAATAGAAATAGATAAATATAAAAAATATGTATATGTGGGGACCAATCTTAATAAAAAATGAAATGAGAAATCTAACTACTCAAGAAACTAATTTAAGAAGGAATAGAACACATTGGTTATAAATATAGCCAAGCATCAATAAAGATGGAAAAGAATTAGGGAAGAAAAGCAAAGAAAAATAGTAAAAGTGTTCAAAAAAGAAAAACAGGAAAAGTGTTATGTGTTTTAGTTTTAAAGAGAGCTCACAATGCATGCTTAGTATCTGAATTTACGGTTTGATTTTTTTGTAGGTTTTTCAGTCCAATTAGATTAGTTGTTTTTATATAATTCTATTTTTTATTTTTATTTTTATATTTATCTTTTTTTGGATCTCACATAATTTATGTAAGTTCTTTAATCATAAATCTCAATAATGAGCCTTTTGAGAATTTCTAGGTGAGAAAATTGTTAAGGTTTTGAAAAATTTTCGATACCAAAAGATTTATATTTATGTTTTAATAAAATATAAAGATAAAAATTATCAAATTAAATAAATAAATTCTTCATGAAATCTCAATAATGCTAAAGTAGCTTTTGAGAAAATTATTCAAAATTTTACGATAATCATTTGGAGATTTTGTATGAGCTTTTGAAGATTTTGTGAGCCTTTCAATATAAAGAATATTACAAAGGAAAAAAAATTAAGTATTGAACTAAATTTCATTTAAGACAAATAATTGATAAAATATCAATTAAATGAATGTTATGAGGATGATAATATCTTCTTCACACATGATTGAACGTTTGAATCTCAAATCTATTTCATAAATTATAATTTATTTTTAATGAATAAAAATAATAAATTTTTTAACATAGTTTGGTAAAGTAGTAGTATTTTTATTGGGCGCGAGGCTTACTTCTTTATGACCAGAAAATAAAGTTTATCAACGGTAGACTTAAGATATTTGGTCAATATCAATCCTCATTTAAATTATAAATGTCCCTCGCTCTTCTCTTTTCATGTTTCTTGGGCAAAGCACAGCTAGTCTGCTACGAGTCTACTGTAATCTTACTTGGTTTTTGCATGTAGGTTGGCTTCCTAATTTATCTACTACAATCTTGCTTGGTTTAATTATTGAGGATTGAATTAACTTTCATTAGAGGATTACTAGTGATTCTTTTCTTTTAGCAATTGACTCACTTTGTCCAATCAATGATTGACAAATTTTTGTTAATTCAATGATTTAAAATTTTGAGGGTTCAAAATTAACACTGCTTATTTTCAAGAAAAAAAAAATTAAACACGACTTTTTTTCAGATATTTGATAGCAACATGCCAACATCAAAATTCTCCTCAATTTTAATTTATGAATTACAAAGCCTAATAGCACATATATATAATCTATATTTATTTATTTTGTTGGAACAAAATATAGAAGTGAAAATTTATTAAAACGGATTTAGGGTTTTAACCAACTAATTATATTTTTTTTCTTTTTCCCTTAACCAAACCATTTTTGCTATATATGGAATATTGTTACCATAGGCTATAAATCTGAATTAATTCTTTCTGTTGAAAACATAAACCCTATATCTTCATCTCTTGATTATTTTCTCCGCAGATTAATTTCCAATTGATCGGTATAGCGGTTAGGGTTTTCTTTTTGAAGAATATTATCAAGAAACAGAGATTGATCGGCGTGAGCTGTCTGATAACGAGCATCAACTTTCCATGGCCATTGAGTCAAGTTTGGAGACTGCCAGTGATCCGCCAGCATCATCTACTGCACAGGTGGTCTGCGACCTACTTGTTCAGCCTTTTAAATTATTATCTTCAACAGATTCTAACTCATCAGCAAGATACCTTCAAGCATTGGGAGGAGGCTCCAGGGGTGTACCTTTGCAAGAATCTTCTTTTCCTCCTTTCCCCATTGGTCCCAGCATCAGCCAACAAAACCTTAAACATAGTTCAGAAGGTTTGGCTAACAACACCATGGCAGCACATCTCCGGCGCCAGAAGAATGGGAATATAAATGTTTTCAATTCAGCTCAGGCATGGCCAGTAACAAGTCGCAGGCCTGTCCAAGGATCAAATATCCCTTTGCAAGAATCTTCTTTTCCTCCTCTTCCCATTGGTCCCAGACAAAAGCTTAAAAATAGTTCGCAAGTTTTGGCTAACAACTCCATGGCAGCACATCTACGGCTCCAGACGAATGGGAAAACGAATGTTTTCAAATCAGCTCAGGCATGGGCAGTAACAAGTCGCAGGCCAACATCCCGATATCTTTAAGCTTAATTTGTTACATTTCAACTCGATCATCTAGGCGTACTGAAAAATGTAACCGTTTCTTTTTAATGTTAAAATATATTGTTTGTTTCAAGTTTTAGGTAAAAATGTATTCTGCAGTTTTTTCACGCTTTTTAATAACACTTAAATTAAAAAATATATATAACACCAATGAGGTCATGATGCTTGAACTCAGTAGAGACTTAACAAATTAACCACTCTTACTATCAAGACTAACAATTCAATCAATTGAACCCTCGTTGACTTTAAATTTTTTGTGGTACTACAAACACAAAATATAATGGAAAATCCAAGCGTCTTGGTAAAAATTTGTGGACTAGCATCTCCACATTGATGTTCTCATTTCAGATGTCCTCATCCCCTTGACTCTAAACGTGTTATCTCAAAATTACTCTTGGACGTGAAAAACACAACCAAGAGGATAAACAATGCTGCGTCATCTCATACGCAAACAACCTTACCGCTTTCGATTCCTCTGCCACCACATTCACTTTTGCTCTAACCTGATTTTTAAAAGCAAAGAACCCAGACACTCTCCAGTTTCATTCCAACTCCCACTCATCCAACCCTATTCAATGAATCCTGAAGGCACCGTTGTTTTTCACCTCCGTTGGGAGGCCACAATACGGCTTCGACATCTTCACCGTCAATCTCAATCAAACTCCCATCACCAACTCCACCCCCGAACATCGCTCACTGACTGTATTTCCATCAACTTCAATGCTCAATTCATAAACGAAGATCAATCCATCGTCTTTATCTCTGAACGATCGGGGTCCGCCCAGATTTACCGCACCCACCCGGGCTTACCCAAGCCCGAGCAGCTCCCATCTGCCCCCAGCAGCCTCTTCCACGATCGACCCATCATCCAAAACCACCGCCTTTACTTCATTTCAGCTCATGAACAACCTGATCAACCTTTCAAGAGCTGGTCCGCTCTTTACTCAACCGAGCTCTACGGTAAAAGAGACACTATAAGGTTGTCTCCTTACGGGGTTGCTGACTACAGTCCTGCTATTTCAAAATCTGGGAAATTTGTAGCCGTTGCCTCGTACGGTTCTCGGCCTTGGGAAGGTGATTTTCACGAGCTCAAAACGGATATAGTTGTTTTCCCAGAATCCAACCCGAATAACCGTTTTGTTGTTTGTGAGAAAGGCGGTTGGCCCACTTGGTCAGGTGACTCCACCATTTTCTTTCACCGCCAAGCTGACGATGGCTGGTGGAGCATTTTCTGTCTCGAGTTTCCAGAAAATCCTATTGAATTTTATGGGTTCCCAGTCCTTCCTCTCCGTGTCACTCCACCTGGTCTCCACTGCTTCACTCCGGCCGCGTTCCATGACGGAAAACGAATCGCAGTGGCCACTAGGCGGCGCGGCAAGAATTACAGACATATCGAGGTTTTCGACCTCGAATCGAAGGTTTTTCACCAAGTGACTGAGTTGCTCAACCCGAGTTTTCATCATTATAACCCGTTTGTCTCTCCCGACTCTGAATTCCTCGGGTACCACAGGTTTAGAGGGGAGTCGACTCAAGGTGAGTCCACGGTTCCACATCTCGAGCCACTCATGTCTCCGCTCAAAAATCTACGTATGCTGCGACTCAACGGAACATTCCCTTCCCTTCTCTCCGGACGGTGATCTTCTAGCCTTGAATCCCACTTTGGATGAAAGCGGCGGCATTAAAGTTGTCAAATCGAACGGCTCGAAACGATGGACCTTGATCAAGGGCCGTACGGCATTTTATAACTCTTGGAGCCCCACTGACAAACACGTGATTTACACTTCGCTAGGCCCGATATTCGAGTCAGTTAAAACAACGGTGCAGGTCGCACGAATCACATTTGACCGTTCAGATCTGGACGGTGATCTGGAAGAGATCCCTTGCGATGTGAAGATGCTTACGCGAGAAGATACAGGGAATAACGCCTTCCCGTCTTGCTCCCCTGATGGAAAGTCCCTCGTGTTCCGTTCCGGCCGTTCTGGACATAAGAATCTTTACATACTAGACGCAGTTAACGGTGAATTTAACGGCGGTATACGGAAGTTAACCGACGGTCCTTGGATTGACACGATGCCGTCTTGGTCCCCTAGCGGAGATCTCATAGCGTTTTCTTCCAACATGCATAATCCGGATAGAGTTGATGCCTTCAGCATTTACGTGATTAAATCGGATGGCTCTGATCTCAAGAGGATTTACGTGGCGGGACCGAAGGGGTTGAGTGACGTGGACAGGGAGAGAATTAACCACGTGTGTTTTAGCCGGGATGGAGAGTGGCTGTTGTTCACGACAAACATAGGAGGCGTGACGGCTGAGCCGGTGTCGTGGCCCAATCAGTTCCAGCCATATGGGGATTTGTATGTGGTGAGGTTGGATGGGAGTGGATTGCAGAGGCTGACGTGGGATGGGTATGAGAATGGGACGCCAGCGTGGCACGCTGGGGGCGAGCTGGATATGGGGCGTTTGTGTTTGGGAAATGAAGCTGGGGCTAAACTTAAAGGTGACTTCGAGGAGCCATTGTGGATTACTTGTGATTTTGATTAGAGCTTCTTGATTTCGTTTATCCTCATTGTTTGCTATCGTTGACCCCCGCGGGTTTATTGTGACTAATTGAGATAAATAAAATTACTGTGGAGCTATTAGTCTGATAATTTATATTTACATATCAAAATATTAATGTTTTTAGACGTTTTGGTATTAAAGTTAATGACTGAAGCCTAATATTAAGACATTATAAAACAACAAAAATTGGTATATGGTGAAAAATCATTAGACACATTGGTGTGCATTTATTATCGCTCATTAAATGCGTGTACATATGGTAAAAATTGTGTATATTTAATTATTTGATTAGTAATGTAAAATAACATACAAATGATCAAATAAATTATAAATATTATTACTATTAATATTTAGAAACAAAAATTATTTCATGACAGAAATACTTTGAATGAGGAAAATACACTGAACTATTTTACCTTCACGTGTTTGAAAATGTAAAACCAAAACAACACTTAAAAAGATAACAAAAATAAAATAAAAATAACAAAATAAAATCATAATATAAAATTAAAAAAAATTTCTCAATATATGTCAAAGGTTATTTGAAAAGCGATGAAATCAATAAGAGCGAGGCTGGAAACATAAATTAAGCGATGCAAAACAAAATTGAAACCTCCAAAAGAATATTTGATGAAAGATTATTATTATTACTTTCTTTATTATGAGAAAGTGATTGTTATCACTTGAAAAACAAAAGAGCATTTTCTGTTGTCCTTTTTCTCGACTCCTACTTTTATGTATAGTTATTGAATTTTCCCAACAGCAAGAGGAATAAATTAAGGATAAATAAAAGTCAGTATTTATGCATTTATCAATCTTTTTCAGTTAAATATTTAGTTGGAAAAGATTTAAGTATAATATCTAAAAAAGTTCTTAAATTATTTAAAAAAATAAATCTATATATTTTTATTGTATTCAATTAAATATTTTTATTTTTAGTTAAATAAGCTCTTATGATAAAATATTAATTTTTAGTTAAAATGTCAATTATTATTTTATGTCGTATGGTTTTAATGTAATATGTTAATATATTATAATTAATAATGATGTGACTTATTACTATATTATAATTTATAATAACGTGATATGTTAATTTGGTGTGATAGTATAATTATATGATATTTTTTATAGTTCATATCAATGTTATGTAAATATAAAATGATAAGAGATATTTTAATTAATAATAATTAATTAGTTATTAATTAAAATAACTTATTTAAATCAAAATAAAAATATAAAAATTTAATTAAATATAATAAAAAATAAAAATTTATTTAATTTTTTAATAATATAAAAACTTATTTAAATATTATATCAACGACTTATTATGTGATTATATGTTTTCTTTTATGCTTGATTTCAATATTATATAGAGTGGTTTTTACTCGCTTTTATAAAAGTAGGTGTAGTCCACATGTTGAATCAGATAAATATGATACTTATTGAACGTGGTCATTAATACTGTTTTTAGTAAGATGGAAATAGAAAAAATAAAGGGGAGAGTGGAAAAAAAATAATGTTTTTTTTTTTTAAACATAGCTTTGGTAGGAAGAAGCGGGGAAGGAAATTAGATGAATTGCATATTGTTATCGTTCTAAAGTAGTAGGATTTTTGTACGGCACATGGCCTCCTTCTTATGACCAGAAAATAAAGTTCTTCAACTTTAGACTTGAAAAATATTAGGTCACTCTCAGTCCTCATTTAAATTATAAATGTCGCTCTCTCTTCTCTTTTTATGTTTCTCTCGAGTAAAAAACCGCTGCCCGTCTACTGTAAGCTTCCTTGGTCTGCGAGTAGGTTGGCTTCCTAATTTGTCCACTATACTCTTTTACAAGATTAATAGTGATTCTTTTATTTTGGCAATTGACTCAACTTGATCAAATCAAGTATGGTTGATGAACAATTGTTATTTCAATAATTTAAAATTTTGGGTGTTCAAAATTAACGCTATTTATTTTCAGATATTTAATAGTAACATGGCAACATCAAAATTCTCCTCAATTTTAATTTATGAATTATAAAGTCTAATAGTGTATATATATATTGATTTATTTTAGTGAAACAAAATTTAAAAGTGAAAATAAATGAAAACGGATAGGTTCTTTTTTTTTTAATTTATGGATAAAAGACCGTGCTTCTTATTTTTGAAAGAAACGTAAGGTTAAAAAAATAAAAAGTTATAAATATATAAGTGAATGTAATTTGATTTGAATTTGTAAATTAAATTAAATTAAAATTAAAATTAAAGTGATAATTAGCTTATAAATACAGAGCACACTTCATTTGTAAAATACGTACTTTAATCATATGTTATTACTCTTCTAAATAATTTTTTATTGTTATTCTATTGCTTTTTTGGTTTTTTTAATTTATATTTTATAACAAAAAAGATTTATTTGTGGCGTGAGGAACGTTATTCACCAGTTTATTTTCCAATTTTCATCCATTAATATTCTCTCCGGAGAATTTTATTTATTTTTACATCAAGAAATCTAGCGAGCAGAATATAACCGGTCACACTATTCTTTCCTCACCTTCCAAGTTCCCGGTAGGTAGCTTCCCGAACCCCGTGCGCCGCCTTCTGCACTCCAAATCTCACGTAATCAACTAATTATCTTTCTTTTTTCCCTTAACCAAACCACTATTGCCATATATGAAATATTATTGTCGTAATCTATAAATCTGAATTAATTCTTTCTGTGCAAAACATAAACCCTAGATCTCCATCTCTTTATTATTTTCTCCGCAGATTAATATCCAATCGATCGGCACAGCGGTTAGGTTTTTTTTTTTTTTGAAGAATATTATCAAGAAACAGAGATGGACGACAGCTGTGCGGTTTGCGCTGACAATTTGGAATGGGTTGCCTACGGCGCCTGTGGTCACCGGGAAGTGTGCTCCACCTGCGTCGCGCGTCTACGCTTCATCTGCAACGATCGCCGTTGCTGCATCTGCAAGACTGAGTCCAATGTCATCTTCGTCACTAAGGTTAGGGCTTTCTTCTTTCTTTTCATCGCCAATCTCAATTTTGAAATTTAATTATTGTAATTATACCGTTCGATATTGTTTTTGTCTGATTTAATTAGCCAATTCTTTCAAATCTTTATTGGAGAGTAAAGATCATTAAGCCAAGCCTAAGTTGTCTGTTACTTTGTGGTTCTGGTTTCGTTCCAGGCTTTGGGGGATTACACAAGGATGATCAGTGACTTTTCTGTATTGCCATCTGAAGTGAGAGAAGGACGGGTGGGATCTTATTGGTACCATGAGGATACACAAGCGTTTTTTGATGATGTTGATCACTATAGGATGATCAAAGCAATGTGCAGACTTTCTTGTAGTGTATGTGACAAGATGGAAGAGCAGTCGAATGAGGGGGCGAAACGACAGGGAAAGTTTAGGAACATTGAACAGTTGAAGGGTCATCTGTTTCATCGACATAGATTGGTTATGTGCAGCCTGTGTTTGGAAGGACGGAAGGTAAGGTTGTTCAAATGAAAATATGACCATTCTGTTCAGTTAAAACTGTAAACCCATAGTTCTTTTAGAAGTTTGTTTGTGCATCAATAAAAGCTGTCTGTATGCATCATTAGCTCACTGGTTTCCTTTGGATGATGTAGGTGTTTATCTGTGAACAAAAGCTATATACTAGAGCACAGTTAAACCAACATATAAACACAGGTGATTCTGAAGTGGATGGAACTGAGAGTGAGAGAGGTGGCTTCATGGGGCATCCAAGGTGTGAATTCTGCAAGACCCCATTCTATGGGGATAATGAGTTATACTCTCACATGTCCAGAGAGCATTATACATGTCATATATGCCAAAGGTACTCAGGCTATTCTTGGTACAGATTTTTGCAGTACACCTTAAAGCAAGTGGGCTTACTTTTGCTTGTTCAATGTTCAATGCAGGCAGCATCCAGGACAGTATGAATATTACAAGAATTATGATGACCTCGAGGCAAGATGACTCCTATATTTCTTTGCTTTTCCTTTTTTGTTCTTTTTCTCCTCTTAAAGTTAAAGTCAAATGTCATTTTGGAAATTGTCTTCTACAGATTCATTTTCGCCGAGATCATTACCTATGTGAGGATGAGGCTTGCCTTGCCAAAAAGTTTATTTTCTTTCAGTCTGAAGCTGAACTAAAGGTGACTTCTTCGAGCATATACATTATGTGCATAGTATATTTTGTTTGATTATGTCCTGTTATAGCTCAAGTTTTCCTTTTCTCATATACTGTTCTTATGTTTTTCATTTTTGTTCTTTCAGAGGCATAATACAATGGAACATGGAGGTCACATGTCTCGTGCACAGCGTAATGCTGCTCTACAAGTATGTATAATCTACCTGATCAATGGACTTCTCATAAGTTGAATTTCCTTAATTGATTCGTTGATATATATCCATTGATAAGTTGGTTACTTTTTGTCGTTTTGTTAATTAATTGTACTTTTTCCAGATACCAACAAGCTTTCGATATCGTCGAAGTAATGAAGATAATCGTCGTGGAAGGGGACGAACATTTCAGCGTGAGCTGTCTGATAATGACTATCAACTTTCCATGGCCATTGAGGCAAGTTTGGGGACTGCCGGTGATCTGCCAGCATCATCTACTGCACAGCTGGTCTCTGATCATGCAGACACAAATGATATTGACCCACTTGTTCAGCCTTTTGAATTATTATCTACAACAGATTCTGAATCATCAGCAAGATACCTTCAAGCATTGGGGGGAGGCTCCAGAGGTGCCCCTTTGCAAGAATCTTCTTTTCCTCCTCTCCCCATTGGTCCCTGCACCAGCCAACAAAAGCCTAAACATAGCTCAGATGCTTTGGCTAACAACACCATGGCAGCACATCTACGGCGCCAGAAGAATGGGAATACAAATGTTTTCAATTCAGCTCAGGCATGGCCAGCAACAAGTCGCAGGCCTGTGCAAGCATCAAGTAGTTCAAGTCAGATTGGAAAAGCAACAAATGTTGCAGCCATAGCAGCACGTGGTACTGGTAGTGGAGTTGCACAGTTGAGCTATGCAAGTTCAACGCAGGCACAGGCTCAGGTTCAGGCGCGACCGACAACAGCAGATGTATTAATATCATCTGGTTCTCGAATGAGCTCAGGCAACACAAGTAGGATAAGCCACTCTTCATCAGCTCCAAATCTTGCTAATAGTGGATTCTCGGAACCGTCTGTTTCTGATTTTCCTCCAGTTTCTGCAGCACAAAGGCACAAGCAGTCCTCAAGCAGCCAGGTGCAGATGAATATGGAAGATGTTCATACAGCGAACAAATCTTTGGTGGAAAAGATGCGAGCTGCTCTTGAATATGATGAAGAAAAATACAATGCTTTTAAAGAAATATCTGGACAGTATCGTCAGGGTTTAATAGACACAGGCAGATATTTGGATTATGTAAAACAGTATGGCTTGTCACATCTTGCTCTTGAGCTGGCTAGACTCTGCCCTGATGCTAAGAAGCAGAAAGAGCTAATTGAGACCTATAATGCTAGTTTTCAATGCAACAGTCTGCAAGATAATGATGGTGGTGCCTGGTTGAAGGATAATATTGCCTCGAAGAAAGGGAAAGGGAAGTCTTTGGATACTGCAAGCAGTAATTCAAAGGATACCTTAGCCGATAGTATTATGAGCAGTGTCAGGAAATTTCAGTCAAGTTATATGCCTTCTGAAGAAGAGGTGGAGGTGCTATCAAAGGATGGTTACCGTCCTTCCAAAGGCAAATCAAAGGTGATGGTCGATGAACAGCAGGTGGAACTGAATTCTAGCAATCAACCGGCAATAAAAATTGGGGGCCAAAATGATTCCTTAGCTGCTAAAGTGGGATCAGGGGATGGGGGTGGTGGTATCAAGCAACGGAAGAAAACTTCGAAATTTCGCCGACTGCGACTTGGTGATGGTTCAATGGCAGCACTATTGGATCATAAAAGTTCTGAGCCAGATCCTGATCCTGAACCATTAGACAAGAAGTTTGACGGCAGCCAAAATTCCACCGGAGGATTGCCTATACGTGGTGTTTGGAAGAAGGGAGGAAGTCAGAAACTCTTTCCATAGGTTATATGCCAAAACCTTACCGGAAGATAGTGTTTGGCGCTGGGAGGTCATAACGTTTCTTGGAAAATGACCTAAGTAGTCTTAAAAGTGATTCGAGTTTTGCCATGATGTTCTCAGGAGTGCTGGCAATAGATGGAGAAGATTCCATTAATGCCAGAGTTTTCAGGGTGTTGCAAAAACTATCCTAGTTGTGTTGGCTTGTCTGATTTAGCCACTTTTTGATGATACAGCATTGTAACTTTGAGGTGAGGAAGATATTTCCGGAGTCTGGACGTTGTTCGTTTTAGTGTTAAACAAAATGCTTTTTATTTAGAAAAAAAAAAAATATACAGAGGTGAAGATTCTTTGTCTGAATATGTAGCTTCTTATTTTAGTATTTTGTTTTCTATAATATGTACTTTATATGTTTGTAATATATATAAAAATACAGATGTTGGAGAAGTTTTTAATTGATGAAAATGGTTAGATTTATATATTGTAAATAATTATTAATATTAACAAGATTTATAAAATTTATCAATATATAAAAATTTTAATTGTATCAATGAATTTTATTATATAAATATTACTCAATTTGTAAATAAGTTTTCTAATTACATTGAATATGTTGTTTTAATTTTAATTAATAGCATTTAGTATTTTATAAATTAATATTAAAAGATTCCCTTATATATAATTGAATCATTAATTGTTATTTACACATAATTATTATGCAAAAATACATAGAAAAATATTTATCAAATGACAGTAAACCCTAGTACGAACAAAGAAACGGCAGAGTAAATCAAAAAACAAACGAACTATTGTACCAGTCATGAAAATAAAGCAGGATTGCCGTGTTTCATGTACGTCCGGGGATAAATTGATCCTTTAGTTGATTGAAGGGTTTAAGTTTGTAATAATTCCTCTGATCCTTATTTTGCTTTTTAAAAGAAAATAATATAACATTCACACTTAATAGTTCTTAAATTTGGTTTTGACCTTTAGACTGAATGAAATTTTATCTTACTCAAACCGAAAACAAACTGAGACGAGGAGTCAAGTCTAATGCAGAACCTTGCTTATGAGCATTCCTTTCAGCATAACATATTATACCACAAAATGGGTGCATTTTATGCGTATTTTGACCTAAAATATCCCTGTGGCTGTATGTAAAGCAAATGTAACAGCCTTTTCTTTACCTTTATATCCAAACTTTATAGTCAGAGGCAAGCTTCATAGAAGTTGAATGGAGAGGTCAAATTGAGAATAACATACAAGTGGATGTCAGATTTCCCAAAGTTAAACGTATGTAAGCAATACATGGATAACTTTTTAAGTTTCCCATCAAGTATGCAAGTGCATTGTTATTGATAGCATTAAATTGTAGGCATATATATGACTTACAGAACGAATGATGGTCCATAGATGCTACAACACCAACACCAGGCTGAGTTTCAACATTCAACATTCAACGGAGGGGGACCAAACTATTTTACAGTAATGTAAGCAGCTTATAGTTCGAAAATCTGATTACTAGCACAGCCAAAGGTTTTCTCGCTGCTGTAACACATATAGAGAAATCCATCATCGTCTTTGAAAGATTCATATACAGAGTCCATAAGGGTAGCTGCAAACACAGATGATAGATGAGGGCTCAGA